ATAAATTGTTCCAGTGACCCTACTTAAAAGATGACTATTTATTCCAAGACGTTGTGCGGCAACACTGCCAGGCATATATCGCGTTTTCTGTTGCCCATAAGCTTGTTTAATAGTATCGAATGTTGGTTCCTTCATAGTTTTTATAGAAATTTTGATTCTGCGTGACTTGCAACCCTCTTTATTGTGTATAACCTATAGAATAATAAAATCATCCTAAATAGAATTAAATACTAACTCGAGAAATTTCAAGGTAATTTAATCATTAATCCTGGTATCTAATGTGATATAAGAAGAAATTCAATGCAATTGTACCTCTCCCATTGCACCATAATAGGGATGTCCCAACATGAAACAAAAGGTTCCTGGTATAAAAATATCATGCATAGTTTCGTAGACTGGCAATTTTTTACTGTAGACGGAGATATCTTTGACTACAGTCTGATAAGCATAAGCTGCGGCGTAATCATTCCACTGTTTTTCAACCGTAACTTTTCCTTGAACACCGAAAACATATTTGTTGCCCAGGAACGCGCGAGCATAAAGCAACACATTCGTATCGCCAATATCTATTCCAAGACGTGACATATGTCTAGAAATAAATATTGCGCAGTATTATATTACGTTTTTAATATTACTCTAATATTAATGATATTAATGACAAGTATTAATGTCATCTTACAATTCTTTAACTTGTTTGCATAATGTGTTCCATTCTGCAGATAACGCGCCCTTCACATCTTCTTTCTTCAGATTATCATGACTGTAACCGCCTAATTGGTTGATCAAACTGAGTTTCATGTTACAGTCAGACACACCAACTACAAGGACTTCTTTCAAATGAGGCCATTCCACATATACGCTCTTTCCTAATAGCTCTGATGCTAAAGTTGTTAAATTGGGTATTGGTTTTGATATTAGAGTTAGAATCATACTGTCCAAGACTGAATATTGCTGAAATACTTTGACCTGCAAAGATATTGATATAACAACTAAGACCTAAGACAACGTATTTCAATGATATGTATACCCTCGCTTTTTCCAAATGCGCTGAATAATCCAAATGCCGTAGTGTAGGAAATCCTGGATAATAAATGTCGAGATCAAAATCAGGGGATAATCCCCTAATTAATTGTTCTCTCGGAACGAAAATTTCTTCGCGATTCATTAATTTTACTTGAGCATGATTGGTAAATTCTGGAAAGTATATTGTTGTCTTGTGAATACTTTGGCTTTCGTCGGTATACGAGTACAAACACATCGGCCCGTGTTTATTCCTTGCTTGTTCTTCAAGTGTTAATCTTGACAAATGTGGCTGCATAGCTATTGCAAACAAAAAACAACGAAAAAGAAACTTAAATATTTTTTATATTAAAAAAATAATAAAATTTATTATTTGAATATTTACATTTTATTTCGCTCAAAAATTTCAAAACATTGAAAAAAGTCTTGCTTACCAGCCAACAATAGTTTTTCATCAATAAATGGGATAAGTACAACTGCTTCCCATTCTTGTCGTTTTCCATTTAAATCGGTTTTAAAATTATGTGGATAATAATTAATAATCGGAGAAGTTTCCTCTGTCAGTAATGACTGAAATGCCATTGGTAATAAATCTTTACTAAATGCTGGTAACACAGCTAGCAATTGTTGAAAAGGTAAGAATGGCTGTCCTAAGTCAAATTCTAACTTCAAATCTTTGAAGTCTTTTATATCTGAGATGTATGGGGCATAATGATGTGGATAATACCACGACCAGCTGCAACAGCCGTGGTAATAATAATGCAAATTCCACTGTATCGCTCTCACATAACCTTCAGCCTGTGAACGTAAAACTTCTCTGGAAATTAATAAAATGTATTTATAAATGAGCTGGAATATTATCTCAAACATTTTATGTAAAATTATACATATATAAAATACTTACTCATCGACGTTTTCATATTCCAACTTGTTCATATAATAATCTTTTTTATGTTGTACAAATTCCATGTTATATATCTCACTATCCGATTCATCATCTACTATTAAATCCATATTTCTATACTCTATAAAGATATCATCATCGTCAAAATTACCTAAGGACTGTGTTGCAAAGCATTAATTATTATTTATTTATATACAGACATTATTAAAAGATATTTAAATAAATACCATCTCCCTAGTACTTTTGATAAGTGCATCTAAATCTTTATTTTGTGTTTTCTTTGGAGATGCACTTTCATTGTCTTCTGTTTTCTTATATATATGACGCTCAGATTCATTGGGCCTTCTACCTGTCTTACTTTCAAAAAACTTTATATCGGCATACTGCTCGTTAAACTGCTCTACATCTAAACGGCTAAGTCTCTCCATAAACTTTTCAAAACGGTCAAGGTTTAATGTTCCCGCTTCATTTATATAACCTGAAGCAAAATAATATATTTAATTATATAATTATAGAAACATAATTTTGACAAGATAATTAATAACATACCCTCTAGTGTTGGTAATACCTCCATATATGCACGATACAAAATTGGTAATGCACCATTAGCAATATGTAAATTTGGCAGGTGGGGAATAAAATCGTTTCCTACCAGAAAACCCATTAAAACCCAATCGTCAATTATTTTCTCAATATCAAACGAAAATGACAGTTTGTCCTTGATCGGCGAAAACTCGTGTTCTATGTATTCTCGTAAAAGTGACAAATGAAGAAGGCAAAACTTTGTTTCTTCCGGGGTCATTTTCACTTGTTGCTTGCCAAATTTTACTTCCTCTCTCAAAAGAGAGAAATTCGGTTCATGTGAACACAAGCCTAACATTATTAAATCTGCATCCAAACCATATAAACAATGGCTGGAGTCACTGTTGTATTCCTTGCTTGCCTTCATGTACCTTATGTAATCCATAATCTTGTGCTCTCCCTCTCCAGGGACCTAAAATACATTTGATTTCTCTTATATTTTACTGAATAACAAACATCTTAGCCTATAGTACATAAAAATTTCCTTTCTACAGCATTAATAGCTGGATTTGTGTGTTTACTGCTGTATTGCACAGTGATGCTGACAGTGTTGCTGATCATATTGCTAGTTTGATCCCAGATACGAGTTTTCATGATAGATGAGCAGTTAAGTTTTTTGACAGAAGATACTTTATCCAAGTCAGTAAACATAGAATACATATATTGTTATCATGATACATTATCATAAAACTATAATGATATGTTTTTAATTATTGCGAATACTTTAATTACATTTATATTTGTATTCATAGTCAGATCTTATATTTAAGGCTTCTTTAAATTTATCTTCAGATGATCTATGAATTATTTTATTGACTATTAAGCATCTAAAGATAAATTTAAGAAAGCCTTACATATAAGGTCTGACTATGAATATAGACATTAAACTGTATCTTCATTGGCTTTTACAATAAGCCAGCACAAAATTATGTAAGAAAAATAATACATAATCTAACACGAAAATCCAGCAGACTATACAAATTCCAGTATAGCAGCCAGTACAATTAATACAGTAGCATACAAGCAATTCTGCAGGAAGAAAAGTATCATGTGCCACAGACTTAAAACTAGTATTACATTTGTCATACAATAAATTTTGCAAGCTCATTGGTTAAAGAACAAAGAAAGTTTTCTCTATAACTAATCAACAGACCTATAACTAACCAACAGGCTTGAAAAATTTGTTGTACAACAAATGTAATATTAGACTAAGGGCCAATGTTACATTTGCCCATTTATATTGTACAATTTTTCAAGGTTATAAATTTGTCATATGACAAACGTAATATTAGCCCAACTCCTGTTATTTCTGTAAAGAGGACAAATTGTATTTATCTCTCTTATGGCTACATCATCATCAGAAGAATTACCTCAGAACCACTAAACAATATTTTACATTTTTTCCAAGCATCATCTGTAGAAACCTTGTGTTCGACAAAACATTTAAGCTGCTCGCCTAATTTAGCCATAAAAAGTGTTCCTGGGGTTATGCAATTCGAGTCAAATCTCTTCTCTTTGGGTATTGGAATACCCTTGGCTATGGCTTTAGCCTCTTGCACCTCGGCATCCTTAGCGGCTCTGAAACGCCGGCCCCTCTGTTGATTGATTTTTGCTCTGGGTGCGACACCATCGATCGCCATAAAAAATAATTTCTGTGGGCGGATCATATTAAATAGCACCTCTATATAGTGAAATATATTTTTAAAAATCATCTCCTCGGAGATGCGGAAGCAGACGTCGTCGTTGGGATGGGAACATGTATGTATAATACCATTCATGTCCAAATATAAATAATCAAATTCTGGTATCTGGAAAGAAAGAAGCAAACAACAGTTATATTATGATTACTGTACAAAGCTATAAAAACAATTTTATTGAAATATTTAAAATGAATAAAAATCTTGCTGGGCTTAATAAGAAAAAAAGGAAGACGAAGGAGCGTGATAGGAAAAAAAGAAGTCTCATCGCTTCAGGATTTACAATGCTTTTTTTCTCCTCTCACCCCCCGTCCAGTACCTGATGTTCCTTTACGACCTCGCTCAGACACGGATATCTCTCACTTATGTATCTGAAGAATTTCGGCACACCCATCGTGAGGCCTCACTTCGACGTCAAAATAAACGCGTTACCTTGGATAATTCTGTGTCCGCAACGAACGCTTCGCGCGTTAAAGTCGTTCTACCAAAATCAAAGATTTTGCTCGCGAGTACATATATCAACTTTGCTTCGACAGTAACATTTGTCCGCGGATCATCCATGTAGTATAGACGAGAAGACGAGACGGGAATCCCATACCGGGTTGTTCCGGGAATCCTGGGAATTCTTTAAGTCGGTTCTACATTACTTGCAAGCCGATCGCAAGTTTGTTGCGACAGCCAATCTGAAGCTTGCATTTTGAAATTAACGCTTCATATTGGCTGGCGCAAAAAACTTGCGATCGGCTTGCCAATCGGCTTAATATAAAATGGGCTTTCAGTGTTCCTGCACACTGGACGCGGAAACGTTTGCAATGCGGCAAAATGAGACGCGGTAAGGGTAAATTATGTATTGTGGAATACACAATTTCGGATAGATTGAAATTCTTATTCTTTGTTCTCTGTTCCCTGTTCCTTTTATTGTGCGGAGCCTCTAACCAATAAACACATTAGGAGCTGTAAGCTTATTGACTACCGCATCACATTTTGAGCGTAGCAAGCATTTCCGCGTCCAGTGTGCAGAAGCCATTAGTTGATGTTTAAAATCAGATAAGGGTAAGGTTAGATTATCATACATGACGCCGATATTTTGACATACGGTTGTTCTTTCGCGCGACGTTTAGAAGTTGGAAAATCTGAACTTCTAAGTGTCAACGCTGAAACTAACATGACGTCACAAAATTGTCTTGACGCGCGTCAATTGACGTCCATGAAAAAGCTTTAGTCTACTTTGCCATAGTTTCGCATTATTTTTGTTACATCAACTTGACAGGTCCAATTATAATAATGTTTTTGATGTGACATTTTGGACTTTATAGCACTTTACACGACACAATTAATATAATTATCGTCAAAAATTTATTGCGCGTGCTGCTAACTAATTTATATGAGCGATATTCGAGGTTAGTGACATATGAAATAATCTATAATTTTTGAAAGTTTCTAATAGAGTTTGTTTCGTACATTATATCCAATTTATTTTTTATGCATTTATTTCATAAAAAAATATAGATAAAGGGAAAGTTCTTGATTGTATCAAACTTCGAATGTCAAAAAGACCAATTAATTAGAAAAGAAGGACAACTCATAGTTGGAAGACTGTCGTCAGATGTTGGATAAAATATAAAAGTAAATAATTGTAAATAATTTTTACAAAATTGACTTTATTAAATTAATTAAATCAATTGTTCATTATAGCACCATTGATTTATCCATTATCTCCATGTATTAGAAAAGGAGGGACTTCTCTTACCTTAAAATTGTTGCTGAATTGACGTTTCAATGACATTCCGTACACGGAGAAAAATATTTGATTGAATTAAGAATGTACGATCGATCACTTGCGGGGTAAGTAATGAAGAGGATACGCTATTATTCTACATTGATAATACCTAATATATGAAAATCTTTTAATAATAAGAAAGGCTAAATTATGGTTTATTAAAATTAAATGATAACTAATTTTTGATTATTATGACATGCTTTCATCAGTTTTTTGTTTATATACAAATAAATTACACGGTGAATAGAGTTAAAATTCTTGCAAGAATGTAAAAAAAGGTTTGTTCTAACTATTTATATGTTTTTTATGCAAATCGAAGCACTTTAGGAGTAAGTAATTATGTAATATATCAATCATTCAATGCATATGTCATATGATATCATGCATAAAACTCTAACTTTAGTTCTTTCATTTTTAAAAATTATATAGTCAAAATTATATAGTCGGTTTGAAATTTTAATATAGTTTCGTTTTAAATAATATTCTGTGTAATTTTTAAATAGATCGAAGTATTTTGATTTTTCGATCGTACCTGCTTAACTGGACTTGTGGTGGAAAAAAATGAACGATCCAGAATTCTAATTAAGTTTACTAGATTTCTCGTAAATTTATTAGACTTTGGTTATTTCAAACAAAATTCTGATAGATTGGAAATTGGTTATTTCAACTAGAATTTTGATAGATTTTGAAATTGGTTATTTCAACCAGAATCGTGGTAAATTTAATCAGAAATCTAAACTTAACTAGAATTCTGGATCGTTCATTTTTCACAATTCCAGTTAATTCAACCAAATATTTTTTTCCGTGTATGTAAGATCAAAAAAATTACAATTTTGATCTTAATTGATGTATGAATAATTAATTTCTTGATATACTTCTTTCAATAGGTAAACATTAGAAACAACTGACTTGAAGTGACTAATAGAGACGTTTTTTATTTCGGTCTAATTACACCTGCATTTTATACAGATCCTTAAATCACTTCGACAAAGGTGGTCTACTCATCGCTATACTGCATATGTTTCGAGTACCAATCTAAACGGTGAAACCAACTGAAAGCTGAAAGATGATCGCTCCGTGTTCTCCACCGCGAAAAATGGCGATTAAGCACTTTTGAGCTGACGCACTGTCTAAACATTTTGATTGTTGCCACGCAGTGCGGCACGTGTTAGCTGTGTTATTCGTTTCGCCCAACATGAGCTTTGCAAGCAAGCATAGGAGCAAAAACGATCTCATTATTGATGTCTCACCGAATAATATTACAGCGCGACGACAGCGGCGAGTGTTAGAATTTCGGACCTGGCAGAAAGATAGACGGAAAAGAGGAACGACGAAAGATGAAGAGAAAGAGAAAGACGGACATCTTGATAAATGGAAAAACGCACCACTTACGAAGCTGCTGTAGGCATTGTTGATCTCTCGACTGAGATTGTTTCTTAGTCTCGCTACGCGTTTGAATAATTAATTTGTTCTCCATGTACATCAAGGATGTGACGCATTACATCATCTTGGGTGGTACAATGTGTTTACGCTTACCAGAATATTTAAGATATAGTGACGGATACTAGCTCGACACAGATTTTTAAATTACAAAAATGGATCTCCGACCCGATTCTACTCTTAATTTTAGAATGCTTGCCAGAGCTCTATTATTTTCTTCCATTTACATTCTCATTTGACAGAAAAAAATTTATCAGTTTGAAGAGAAACATGAAATGATAATGATCCATTAGAAATATATATAATTATGGAAAATGGCATTATAAAAATACTTAATTTAAAACATTTAATTTTGTTTTCAAATGAAGACGCAAAAATTCAGTGCTTTGAATAATCACATATATTTTTACTACGAAGCTTTACATGTTGAGTCATTTGTAATTTTATTAGGATAAGATCTAATTAATAAATATTCTGTCATATATATTCTTCTCGTTTTAGGTTTTCCATTACAGTTCTTCTCTCTCTCCGTTTTAGGAGACATTAACTTTTTTTTATACATCTGATGTCTTGACTCAGTTTTTTTCACTGGTAGAACTGGTGCACATTCAGTGCACTTTAAAGCCGTTTTACACAAATTGATGTAAAGATGTTCGTTTAATAAAAATATAGAAACGATTAAAAACGATTAGAATTAAACCGCGAAATCCTCAATACAATTCTATATTTTATTGTGATATTTGATAAAACATACATTGAATATTTTATTAATAGAGATATCTCACTTTTACATTCAGATTAAGTTAGTGTACAACAGCTTTAATATGCACTGAATGCGCATTTTACCAGTGAAAAATGCTATTATTTCACTTTTACGAACAGGTGCAATGTCTTTTGTTGCATTTATATGATACCTTTCGAATGTTTGAAAATTGAAACTCAATTTTGCGATGTAAGAATTTTGGAAGTACGTAAGGAGGGATTAAAAGAAGCTCATGTAATATCGATAATCATCGATATTATGATGAGCGTTCATTGACAAGATAAATATTCCAGATGAAGAAAAGAGAGGGATTTTTTGTTAAGAAAAGAAGAAGAACACATTTGTGTTAACAACATATGTATGAAACCGGGACCGTCAAAATATAAAAGTGAACAATGTCTCATAACATCGAAGAGAAAATATATCGTTTTACTCTTATCGCATTGTCTCTAATTTTAACCGACTTTTTGCGCTAGAAATACATTTAATTTTTGACTGAAGAAATTTTGTTTTTACATTAAAGGATAAAATTCAATTTCATGCGTTACATTCTTCAATTTGCATATATTAAAGGATATAATTCAAGCTAATCAACGATTGACTGCTAATTATCTACTATCATGCAACGATTTTTTCCAAGCTATAATATAATTGCGAACAGGATTATAATTGTTTTAATGTTACCAGCGTTTATTAGAGAGAGCGAAGTATACATTTATATTATGTTTTGTTTTTTTACCGTTTGTAATATTCTATGTTTTATTGATAATGATCTGATCGCGATCGAAACGTTTGTTTGTTTATTAGCGCATTGTATTTAATTACATCATTATATTAATGATATAATTAAATAATTTGTTTGATTTGTAGCCCTTTTTCTTTCTCGTATTATAAAAGTGAATCTTTGCGTTATTTTCTCCGTTGGATATGTTAAACGGATGGGTAAACGGATAAATCGGCGAGCTAGTGGCATCGTGATCGATATACGATCTCGATAAAGGAAGACACCGGCCGGCCAGTCGGTCGAGACGAAGAGAACGATGAAGAAGCAAGAAAAGAGGAGGAGAAGAGGAGTCACGGCGGTTTTAGATCCAGTGATATAGGAGGCACGATATATAAGTCGTTCGTTCGTTCGTCCGCGTCTTCGTCCATGGCCGGGCATACATAATCGGGTTACCGTTTACGTGACACGACGAGTCGATCGGCGACGAACGGGGTCTCGAGGGAAAAAAAACACGAGCTTTTCGATAGAAACGGCCGAACGGCTCTCTCGTCCGTTTTAGTTGTCCGAAAACCCTTATAAGTTCCGGATAGTCTCTTCCATGTTAGCGCGAGTTTTCCATGCTAATGTGTCCTCTTTCTTTTCCTCTTGCCCTACTTGCTTTGCGCGATTTCCGCGCGTTCCTCCTCTTGTATTTCTTCAGTTCGTCTCGTTCTCCAATCTTCTACATTTGCCCGTCCCTTAACCCTCCGGCTGTAGGTCTCATCGCACATCGCTGATGCACACGTGCGTTTATATACTAACTAAACTGTATCATCATCGCACTCTGCTCCCTATCACTCTCTCCTTCTCCTTTCGTTCGCCATACATCGTCGTCCTTGGCCTTGTCTTGTCCCTTCTCATTAGGAGTCTTCTTTGCCCTTTTTCTGTCCCGGCTACCGGCAAACGTGCGCGTCGTCTTCTTCACCAGTTACTTCCTCCCTCTCTCCCTTCCTTCATCCTTTTCCAACCCGTCTAACTCTTTCTCTTTTTCTTCCGCTCTTTCTAACTCCCGTCCTCGTCGTCGTTCCCGGCTGTTTTACTTTTGCTCTTGTTTATCTCTCCTGCAACAAGAGCGCGCGATCTCTCCTGTATAAATTGCATTCTCGTCGTGCAATTGAACGGATCGAGGACTCACGAGATACGCTAAAATAAGGAAGTTGAAGGAAACAAATCGAGTGGACGGAACATTGGGATAGAAATAGTGACAATGTTGGAATGGTGCGTCGGAATTGCGACCACCCTGTTGACCTTCCTTATCTACTTTGCATATTTCTTCAAATTCAACTGGGTGAAAGTGAGTGATAATCAAGCGACATTATTTTCTGTGTTTTTACTATGAAGTGTGTTAAGATTATAACTTAGTACTTCTTAAAGGACATGAGAATTGAGGCTAAAACGCGACAGACCCGCAGTTTTTACGCGAGTAACAAACATCGGAAGGTGGGTAAACTACCACCGGTCTACCCGAATGGATGGTTCGCTCTGCTCGAAAGTTCGCAGATAAAAAATGGTCAGGTGAAACATGTGTCTGCTCTCGGTGAAAATTTCGCGGTATTCAGGTACGTCAGGGTATAGAATTTTCTTTGATTATTTTTTTAAATATTTTAAGATATAACAGGATGTTCTATTTCAAGATATATCTTAAAATATTTAAAATACATATTATTTATCACGTAACGTTTTATCAATTTCTTCAAGAACCGAAAGAGGCGTTGTCAACATTTTAGATGCATATTGCCCGCATTTAGGGGCAAATATGGCTGAGGGTGGTCGTGTTAAGGGAAATTGTCTGGAGTGTCCATTTCATAGCTGGACGTTTCGCGGAGAGGATGGCTATTGCGAAAACATACCTTATGCTGAAAAGGGTATTAATCAAGTTCTACATAATTTTGAATCTCAGACGACATCTATCTACCCTTTTGCTATTAGGATCTGTAGCCAAGATGTTCGAATCGGTTTTTACGAAACCACATTCCTGCATACAAATGCCTATTTGTGCATTTTAATATACAATACAAACGTTTGCGTCTAAATATCAGGTGTCCATTTAGGGCCTAAATTATTCACAATTCTTGATTTTATACTAGAAATATATAAAAAAATGCATACTAGAAATTATTTCCCGATGCATCTATCCTAGTTATATATATAAATTTTTTTCACAGTGCCGCATGTCGCCCATGTAAAAGTTTGGAAGAGCTGCGAAGTGAATCACATTATCTTCGTCTGGTACCACTCTGAATCAGCTGAGCCAAACTGGCAACCCCAACCACATACATGCATTTCCAACGGCTCCTGGCGTTACCAAGGTCGCAATGAGTACCTCATTAATTGCCACATACAGGTTTGTCACGCATTCGATTCTCTAATGTGAGAAGATATGTTTCATTACATAAAAATCACTTTGAGATGATTAGAAAAAAAAAGAATTAAGTTCGCAACGAAATAAATGAATTAAACTAATTATTAGTGTTTGCTTGAAAGTACTGTCACTTTCCAGAGTCATGAACTGAAGAAAAAAGTATTAGAAAGAAAATTATTCTTTTCTTCTTTTATTCTTCGTATCTTGAGAATCTCTTTCAAATAGGCAATAAAGGTAGATATTAAGTTAAGGCTGTTTTTCAGCTGAAATGAAAAAGTTCTGAGATGTACAAATATATACGATTATTCAAATCGAATGATATTTCATTTATCTTGGGAACATGGGAGAAATCATCAAATCAAATCAAATCAAATAGATCTATCATATTTATGCTATCACATTTATTGAAAAAGTAAGAATAATAAAACAAGAATTGAGCAATAAGGATATATCATAGTATTAAATATGCAAACTCTTCTTTTTGAAAGAAATTCCGCAAAACAATTTTATTACGCAATAAGATAATTATCATACTGTGATACTATTTTGTTATAATTTCTGTACATACATCGAAGGCTTAGTAAGAATAGAACACGCAGTTATTATTACTTATTATTACGCTTTTAACATTTGTGGAATCATTTCATCCTTGTCTATTAAAAAGCAAGAACGAATGATGATTGCGAGCATTATGAGCATCAAGTGAAACGCAGCCCTAATAAAATCTGAAAAGCGTCATCATTGCTTTTTTTACTTTTAGTATCTTCAGGAATCATGGAATATGTCGAAATGAATTCCGATCGGAATTATTCCGTTTTCTCTAGAAAACACAATAGAAATCTAAGGAATAATTGAATAATTCCGATCGGAATTTATTCTTACTCCAATATGCGTTACTATCATGTATTCTCAAAAATATGTAGTATTTGTTAACAAATTTTATATAATTATTTTTTTCAAATCTAAATCTAAAAATTTCAAACACAAACTTTTCCATGATTCTGATGTTTCTCCAAAATAAGTGATATATCATTCGAATCCGTATGAGTATCC